GGACCAGCTCACTGACTGTCTCCTAAGATACCGGAAGATCTTCAGGCTGTTCTTAGCGACACCACATTCTTCAAGGATAACAATGAAGTCAGTACCAAGGAAATTCTGAAGAGATATGGCGACATTGCGCGAGGCAGCTTCTCTCAAAAACCCAACAATGGCGGAGAAACTGTGACAATCACAAACCCTCATAACCGAGGAGCAAATATTCCTACGTCTGCGCGCATTGAAACAGACCAGTCTCAGGATGCATCGTGGCAGGCGCAGAGCTCAGTACGCCACGTGCAAAACACAGGTGGACATAACCACGCAAACAGTGCATCGGCACCTTATAATGGAATGGAACTTGCGCCTGGACAGACCGCCAGCTACCGTGAAAGAAGCACCAGCAATGGCAGCCAGCAGAATCCCATCCCACAGGAGGGGCAATCCCAACAGATGCCTTACAGGACTCGTCCAGGAGCGGGACCCATGGGAGTTGCTGGTTAATTAAAATCAGTCCTTCCCGACTGTTAGAATTGCCCTATCTCATTGCGCAGGTTCTGCCTACTTCATCTTCAGACGAATCCAATTGTCTTCCTTGCCGATCAATCACATCGTGTTCTCTTTTTGATATGCAAATGGATGTTATCGGCGTACATTTGAACCATCTAGCGTTCTCTCATTTTGCTTGGGTTGGATGGAGTTCTTTCTCCTTGTCCGCTTGGTCTGACTTTTGACATCTCCACATTGCCGGCTGCTCGGTTTTTCTCTCAGCTGCTGGCAGTGTTTCTTCTATCTCCTTCTCTCCACTTTTTCTTCCTTCACCGTGCAGGGCATGCAATCGCGAGGTTCGCGTTACTCGATTTGTCTCGCACAGATTCTGGCTTTGATCAGTTGTTGGTGAAGGTGGCTCTTGGTCCAGTCTTATCCGACTCTCGGCCTGTCATCTCACCTTCGACTTAGATTCTTCTCTTCTAGCTTTCACCTTCTACTTTGATTACTTATTTTCATCCCACGAGCTGGGCATGTCGTTGCATTGACTGCCTTTCTTTCTGACCTTTCTCACTTTAATTTTTCTTTCTTCTTTTCTTTTCTTCTTTACTTCGCATTGCTTCCTTCCTGGTGTTTGGCATTTTCATCCCATCAACAATGGTGCGTAAACGGTGAGTGTATCGCTTGGTCTTTTGTTGTTTTCGCTAGTCGGCCTGCACGACCGCAAAGATACCTGTTCTGAGTCAAACTTGTGGCTTCGTTGTTCTCGGTGCCTTTTTATCTTTATTCTTCTTTTTGCAACTTCATTTAACCCTTGCTGCCTCCCTGAGGTAATATTCCCCAGAAGTTGTTCGATTATTGCATACATGCCCTCGTGCGGTGTCATTTCCTCATGAAAAGGAACAAGAGGTGTAATCTACTTTAGGATTTGAAGGAAGCTCGTTCTGTTGCTCCACCGCAATGATTCTCGATCTGTAGGGCCGCGTTCATCAATCTGTAACCACAATGGCAATAGTTCTCCTGGTTTGAGGTAACCCCAGGAGCACGAAGAGATTTTGACCCATGAGAAGACTTGTTCAATTCCCGATCCAAGAGTCACTTGCAATCTTATGCAGGATAGAGCGGAGTAAGGGACAATGGCAAGCAAGGGCAAAAACAACAGTTATATTCAAAGCGAAGGTCAAGTCTCTCAATTCCACAAACGATTCATACACATGTAACCGAGTGAAACCATTCAGGACTGTTCAGACCAGAGACCAACGCCTTCAACTGAAGAGGAAGCGATGGAAGCCCAACCAACTCGCAAATTTTGCTAAAATGTTCCACCAAACTGATAATCGAAAGCCGACACTCCAATGAAAACCCAATAGCAAAGCATGAATGTACAAGGACAAACCCCGAACGGAAAGCCACAGGAATACGACCACTGAAGATGACAGCCAAGCAAGTTATGCAAATACCATGGCCCCAATGAACCCCCAATTCAAATTTGTTGACCCTCCCGAGAAACAATTGCACCACTCCAGATAAAATAACACCGTCGTTGGTAAGTAGTTCCAACTTCGTGTGTGGAACCAATCTGCATTCAAAATTTACGCTCGCTTGCGCAAGACTCGGCGTCCGGTGGCTGAAGCTTCACCTCCTGCGGGAGCAGTGGCCTTCCTGGTCGCAGAAGCGGTGCTTCTTTTGGCGGCCACGGAAGGCGCTTGGTTGCGGGCGATCGTTGTCCTCTTAACAGGAGCACTGGCAGAAGATGCAGTAGTTGCTTTCCTAGTACCCGTTCCTGCTCTGCCTGGCTTGATCACTGTGGTCCCCGAAGAAGCGGTAGAGGAGATGCTCCCTCTGCGGTCGAGTTGGGTGGCAGGGCGGGAGAAGGGAGATCGGACATTCTTTGTTGTTGTGGCAGCTCGGCTGGCGGGTCTCTTAGCTTGAGACGGTGGCCTCATGTCCCTTGTGGTAGTTGTATTAGCTTTCGTGGTCCGCGACCGTGCATTATCCGCGTTCCCCGCTGCACTGGCTGACGTCGATTTGAGGGGACTGGATGGTTTCAAGGGCGACATGGGACGAGAGAGGTATGATGAGTTATGAGGCTTCTCCGGAGAGGTACGGAACGGTGACTGCGGATACGTTCTGGAGTTCAGAGATTTCGGAGAGAGGATTCGGTAATCTGCGCCTCGGACTTCCTGAGAAACGACGCGTGAAGTGCCGGCCGGGTTGGCACGCCTCTTGGGATTTTTGAGCACGTCAAGAGAGTCACCTGCAGCAGGCGCGTTTTCCTTATCCGAATAGAGTCCCTCATGACTTGACAGTCCGTCAGCAGGCGAACAAGGATCGGAAGATTGCGAATGGTCATGGTAACCCACCTTTGCCTTTTTACTCTACGCGTGCTTGGGCTTGCAGTAGAGACACTTTGTTTTCCGCGTTTGACTGAGGCAGATGTGAGATTCCGCGTTCCTTTACCGGGACTGGCGTGCTTCTTGGGGGACAGGGCGGTCTGCTGCATTCGGAGAGAGTTATTGTGCTTCTCGAGCAATTCACCCATTTTGGCCTTTCGAAGTGCGATGGGAATACGGTTAATGCGCCTTTCGATTCGAGACCGCAGATCATGTGCCTGGAGAGCGTATTGTGCGCGAAGCTTGCGAGCTCGTTCTGTGACTGCACCTTGTGTTAGTGATGGCGCATCCAGAACGTTGAGAAGACCATACTCTCTAGTTGCAAATTATCGATGAGGGCCTGCTTCTGGCTTCGAGTTATCCGTAGCTTCTTGTGAGGAGGAGCATCGGTGGGTGTCCTGGCATCGTCGCTAGGATACGCGTCATGGTCTGCGTCGGGGGACTTGCGTTTAGTTGGGGAAGCCATCGCAGAGTATGTGCTAATAGGTAATTAGATGAAAACAAGTTGATTGATTGCGATAAAAAGAGAACAGAGCGTTGTGGGGGAGGTCAATGAAGAGCGATGAATGCGCGTGGAGGAGGATGTTGATGGCAATGCTGCGGGAGTAAACAAGCGCTGACTTAATTCGTCGTTAGCTTCAGAGCGGAGAGTGACATCTCGCCTGCAGCAGCTCCAACCTCCATCACCACCTCCGCCCACCTTCATCACTTCCATCACTATTAACTTCCTCTACTCCTCTCTTGCCTTTTCTCGGAGCTTTTATAATCCTCGAAGAGTGGATTCTGTCTTATTGAATAATAATACCTACATACTGTCTCATCCGGAACTTGCGAAATAGACCTTCGCCAAGATGTCGCTCGAAGCAACCATGATCATGTCCGTCCTTTCCAGCTCAGTTTAAGCTATCTATCCGTTGACTGACCTCTTTGCAGTGTGGATAATAGTGAAAGCAGCAGAAATGGAGACTATACGTGAGGATCCCTTGGTTTTCCCTAGCTTTGATAAGCTCTGTCGCTCAAAGGCTGACAACTTGCAGCTCAACACGATGGCAAGCACAGGTCGATGCTGTCAGCGTCATTCACAGCGCCAAAATGCGCGCGCACCCACAGTCTGCCGTTGGGCTCATGAGTATGGGTGGCAAGGGCCCTGAAGTTCTTTCGACATTTACCTCCGACTTTGGCAGCATTCTCTCCGGTCTGCACCGCACCAAGATTCATGGCACTGCCCATCTCAGCTCCAGTATACAGGTGGCTGGTGTATGTCATTTGTCCTCGATTTGCAGTTTTGACGATAGATACTGACGAAGTTGATAATCTAGCTTGCTCTAAAGCACCGTTCCGAAAAGTCTCAGAGACAACGCATCATCGTTTTCTCCTGCTCCCCTATCGAAGAGGATGAAAAGACACTCGTCAAGCTGGCTAAGAAGATGAAGAAGAATAATGTGTCGATTGATGTCATTGCCTTTGGAGACCTGGAGTCCGATCAAACCAAGAAATTGGAAGCGTTCGTGGAGAATGTCAAGGGCGGCGACGGCTCCAATTTGGCCATCATTCCCCCGGGACCGAACCTGCTCAGTGAGGAGCTTCAGGCCACGCCTATCTTGGGCGGTGAGGCGGGAGTAGGCGGCGCCGGTGCGGAAGGTGGTGACGGCGGTTTCAATTTCGAGGACGCTGCTGAAAACGACCCTGAGCTCGCATTCGCCCTGCGTCTTTCACTCGAGGAGGAAAAGAATCGACAGGAGAAGGAGAAGCGTGAGAGGGAAGAGGCTGAGCGCAAAGCGATCCTGGAAAACATTCCAGAGGAAGGCCAGCCGGGCGGGGAATCGAGTGGAAGCCAAGACAAGAAAGAGGATGGTGACAAGATGGACACCGCGTAAGAAAGGGTCGTGTGACCTTCTATATGGTGGATGACTCTAATGCATACCCGGCGTTTCTCTGTATTGACATCTGCTCTTGTAATCTAGAAAGCGTGCCTCCACTACGCGCTTTGAAGAAGGGATATGAATTGTATTTGGAATTCTATCATTACCACGAAACCGTACTCCAAGTCATCACTGACCATTTCGCCAAGTCGCGAGCGTAGTCCATTCACCAGCACTCAAATGTTGTCTAATTTCAGTTTCACCCAACTCATCATGTCCTCCCTCTCAACCAACCGCCTAGATGTCGATCAAACGCCTCACACCGGACAGGCATCTCCAGCTGATAAAAAGGATTCTTCATCACATAGTCCGAATATAACTCGTAGATCTTCTTCATCACCGCATCGATGTTCGCCATGAGCGGATCCGTGAACAAGAGGAACTTGGTTCCCGTCAAAGTCTGGAAACACGTTAACCGGAACTTATCGGTCTCGAGCGATTCCAGGCCCGTCACTGGTACGCCGGGGTTAGGTAGGCTGTATGCCGACGCTGCCGGCGTCGGGGTGGATGTGCCCGAGGGAGACGATAGGGCGACGTTTGAGGAGGAGGAAGCGGGTGTTGCTGGGAGGGGCGCGGAGACGGGGATCTTGGGGGTGATGGAGCGGGTGATGGCGTGGACGCTGCGTGTCACAGTTGCTGTTAGCATAGCTTCAGAAGGTGATCCTCGCGTGGGAGAAGGTGGTCACAGTCGACGTAACATACCCGTGAAACGTCCCTGCTAGGACGAGGTAGTCGTTTGTGGAGAGTTTGCGCAGTCCTGGCTGGAATTCGCGCTGGTAGATCAAGCCGCCCGCTTTGTTGATGATGATGAGGGAGAAGACGGTCCTGTGTTTGAAGTTGGTCAATCGCGATCTGTATGTGGGGGAAGGTATTTGATGTACATTGTGGATAGGATTCGGACAATCGTCCTGCTGAGGAAGGGACTTCAATGCTTGGAATCGTGCAGCATCACTCTAATTCGTGATTTGAGTATGTTATAATCGGGGTGTATATCGGATTGGTGATCTCATGTCATCGTTATCGTGGTCGTTATGGTCATTGATATTGGCCGCACCTGAGGGGATGCGGAGGAAGGAGATGCTACCTATGTTTGCTGGGGTTATTTATTCCGCACCCAAGAAACGGCGAGAGATGTTACGGACTCGCTCTAACTGCCAATAGAATGTTTAGGTCGGCGGGTTGCTACTACGTTTTAGCGGGCATACAGATCAACCTCTGACTCCTAAATATTGTACGTTTCGTCTTAATTATTTGCTAAGAATCGCATGTATTTCGACGACGCAGATTCATGTTGTTAGGATCAATTTCAAGGAAAATTTAATTCTGCAGAGAAACCGGCTGCTGTCAAGCGACTTCTGCTCCACATTGTCCAACTTCACCATATATTCTCACGGTCCAACAACAATACTGGTCTAGGGGTCAATATCAACGACAGTGCTGACCTCGACAGTATTCTTCTGCAGAGTTAGTCGTCTGTCTAAGAAATAACACTGCTAGAGACATACCGGATGACCCTCTTCCGCTACCGCTTTCAATGACTGACTATCATAGCGAACAGTCCCCTTCCCTCCTCGACCCCCAGCCTTGACATATGCCAGATAGTCAGGAGCTCCAGGAAAGTCGGTATTATCCGCAATGACTAGAGATCCTCTGTGGAAAAGATTGAGGTCTTCACAGAGCTGCAAGTCAGGCAAATAGAACTTCTCCCAGTGATCGAAGAACGCCATATCCACTGCTCTCGGCTTCACCTTTCCCTCTATATGCAGCTTCTTGAGCGATTCCGCAGCAGGTCCCTCAAGGACACGAACAAGGTCTTCCAGCCCAGCCAGGCGAACGAGGTCTCGAGCAACCCGAGCACTTACTGAGCTCAGTTCAAAAGTATAGACGTTGCAATCGTGCACATTCCCACCATGCAAATCGCGTAGAATCGCACCCCAGGCGATGGCGGAGTTGCCAACGTAGGTACCGAATTCGATTATTGTCTTCGGAGGTGGCTGCAGACCGTGAAGTTGTTGACGTGCTAAGGTTAGCTTGTTCTGTTTGAAGATCATCATCCGCTTGTTCTGTGCGAAGGTCTCGATGGCCTTGACCAACTCCCAGGGCTGGTTCGCGAATCTCTCTTGGGGCTGAGCAAAGATATGCTCGTGCAGAGCTAATGCGAGATCTTCAACTGACTTGGAGTTTATTAGTCTGAATCGTTTCTCTGGAGGAAGGAACGAGAGACGTACTGGTCTGGCTCCTAGCATGTTTGAGAGTGGTCTTTGGCTGGGAAACCACAGTTGGACTTTGTGAAATGGCCGGTATCCCTTAACAACAAAGGAATGATAGCAAGACAGTAAGATATAAGATTAGTCTGGATTGGCTTTCGTTTAAATGTGCCATGGTGATCGGAGTATTTATACACTGGTCTCGACATTGAAGCAAGAGGTACACGCAATGACTGCCCGGCCGTCACTCATCTGTGCTGGGCCTGGCCCGGCGCATCACGCAATGGCCAAGCTTTACTTATCTCCGAGTTGACGATCGCGACAGACCCAAATCCGAGTCTATTGAGTCTATTCAAGAGCCCGGATGATTCGAAGCTCGGCGCATCCGGAAGATGATGTGACGCATAGTTGCGAAGTATACCGCAAATCCCGGCGAGGCCTTCCACTGCGTTACGTGTGCATGGAGTACAGTGAAGGATCTCATGATCTCATACTGGATACCCACATAGTGGTGCCTCAGTTAAACAGTTGAATAACATTGACAAGTCCCAATGTCATTCTTTACGGCTTTGATTGTGAAAGTGTCTTCCAGTGATCGAACGACATCTGAGGCCGAACAGTTAAATCCGACGAAGCCTGACTTCCAGAATAGGCAGGTACCTCCTTGACTCGGCGATATTCCATGTATAGTCTCCTCGGCCGAACAGCCCTTGATCGGCAGGGATACGATCGCCTATCTTCATGGGAGCTAAGACGGGCATAATGAACTGTAAGCTAAATGAATATCTTTGTGGCTTGATTGGACGTTGAGTGCAAATTGACAATGGCTTCGAGAGGTCTCACACAAATGCTTGACATTAGTACGGTTGTATATATGCAGATACGGAATACTGTCCATAGACTGGAGAGAGCCATGGGATCTTGACAAGGTAGTGGCATGAACTAGGAGCAACTGAGCAATCAAGGTTTCCGAATAATTATAAATTTCTCGGCTCGATGTTCACGTATGACATTGTTCACTTTTGATTTTGATTGCTCGGGAAAGGAGCATTCAGAGAGATGTCTATCAAAATGCGTATGTATTGGAAATCTAGGGCACATGGCTCGCTGTGAAGTCGTCAAGTCGTAAAGAGTCGTAAATCTTCCAAGCAAACATAAGAGCAAGAAACAAAACTATGGAATTGGACATGACCGGGTCGGTTTGGTGGGGGCCTTCTCAATGGAAGATTTCATCTATCACTTGCCCTCGGGTAGGCAGTTCGTCCTTTGAACTTGGTGCTCAAGCCGAGCAGCTTTGAAACTAATGATGATACCGTCGTCTCTTCACTCTCAAGGCCGTTCAAACATGGTAGTCCGCACGACGACAGCCATGGAAAGCTCAGAGACCGATCAGAGTCTCTGGAGACTGTAGTCACCTTTTAGCTGACATGGGCAGTGGTTTTGCCTAGGGGCGTTGTCGTCGCAAGTCCCCCAAAGAGACGACTTCTGAGATGCTCGCTCGAACGCCAAAGGGAGGGAATGAGCTGGATAAGCTCACCTCCGACGCAGTCTAGCCGGTTCGCGCTCCAGGTTCACGTTGGTGGATTGTAGGGGGAGTTATCTCTCATGATGTAGACCTCCCCAACAAGAACGGCACACCCTACAGCCATGGAAACGGCAATGATGGGAAGGTTCACTCGTGCAAAGTCAAGGCTGCGGACGCGAATATGTTTCCTCGCAAGAATGTCCCGCCAAAGCAGACCGGCTAACGATGCACTAAAAGCAGTGCTAAAGGCACCGTAGTTGACTCCGATCGCCATACTGTACACAGTTGCCCAAAATGTCCGGTTACTGATGAAGGCGCCCTCCCGCTCGTCGTTGATCTGCTTCCATGCTTGTATGACCCGGGAAAGGAGAATGGTAGTACCAATATTGGTGCCAGCGAACTAGTGTAAATGTGGCAGATTAGTTGAACGGGTCCGACTGTTTCAATATTGACCATTCGCAACTCACGTTACACAGAATCACTGAAAGAAAGCCCATGCCACCGATAGCTCCGACGGTCCCAGTCTTGTCCACCCAATGGTCCCATCCGTAAGCGAACACCGGGACCCAGCCCTTGGTGACTAACGCTTGTACGAGGACGAACATGGCAAAAGAGAAAGGCACAAGCGCAAATGGCATGTGCGACACAACCGCTGTGGCGGTCGGGAATGTCTCCTGCGACCACCTGTACACGTCTGCGGCGAGAGACACGAGAGTTACCCGTTCCCGACCGTTTCCAGATGCAACCTCGTGCGATAACTTCTCGGAACATATCCGTCTTTCCACGTCCATCTCAAGACTGGAAGTCGCACCTGACAGCTCCTGTGGTGCGGCCGTGGAGAGTTCCTGCTTTTCGTTCAGCGTGCTCATGGCGTCGGTTGTGAATTGTCCATTCTGCAACCGATCATCCTTGGGTGCCAGCGTCGAAACGGATGATTCTAGAGGAGAGGCCAGCGTCTGACTTTGGCCATCCGACATCTGAGACGAAAAGCCCGTAGAAACACGATCTGACGGCCGTACGCTGGTGATATCGGTCGTATTCCATTCACCAGCGCGTGGCTCAGCGTGGGGCTCTCTCTGTAACCCAGATTCTGTCGATTCAGCGAATTCATATGCCTCGGTAACGTGTTGTGAGCGCATGGCTTCCTCCTCTCGAACGGCACGCTCCGCTCGGGCCAGCTCAATTTCTGCGCGGCCCTTACGGGCAATCTCGCGCGTTTCACGACGGTGGTACCATCCAAACGCAAGATCCCAGCACAGCATGACCACCGCAGCCGGCAGGGTCACCCAAAATACGGGATTAGTGTGGCCATTTTGGCTAGCGGCATTGAGGGCTAGTAGAGTAATAAGCGTCGCCGCCATGATGAGGGCTCCAAATGCAGCACCCCCTTTGTCTAGGAAAGGATTCATGATCTCTTCCAGAGAGAGCTTTTGCTCATCGTCCGCGAGGTCTTCTTGTTCATCGGCCCTGCCCCTCGCATGAGGTATGTTGGGGTTCACGGGCTTCTTGTCTCTTTCTTCTTGTGTGAGCTCGTGCATCTTGATTGAAAGAGGGATGAGAGATTCATCCGCGAAAATGATGTACAGTAGAAATGGAAACAAGACAATGGCGGTGACCACAACGGGAACAATCATATTAGCAGTGTACTCGATGAATTTGACTTGGAAAGCCCCAGCTAGCACGAGATTGGTTGGGTTCGAGGAGACAAGGATTGCAGAGGCGATATTGGCAATGGCAAACTGACTGTGAATCCAAGCTCTTGGATGAACGATGTTGCTTGATACTCGGGTCATATAGGCGAGGAATGCGGTACCGGAKAGAATAATCGGATCGTTTCCAATAAAGCTTCCTAGACCGAAGAAGAAGGCGTAGAGGTAAAAGAAGAGCCGGTGTCCAACCTTGCCACCTATCTGAAGGACCTTGAAAGCCAGGTACCTAATCAGACCGGATGCGTCGATGGAGATGGCGATGTAAGCCAGGCTTAGGAAGAAGGCCATGATATCGATTGGCACAATATTGTCAGCCCCAAGCGTGCCACCGCGCACTTCCTCCCGTCCAATCGCCAAGATAGCCAGCAGAAAGAGGTCTGCTATGAGCGGTGCTGTGACAAAGTTAAGAGGAAAGTTAATTCGCACATACGGCTTGAGTTTGCCATTGTGATCTTCTTCCTGATCGTCGGGTTGAAAGCGATTTTTCCTGAGAGGGATAATTCGCAATTTACTCAAAACATCCAGCACTGCATTTGAGAATGGGCGTGGGACGTAAATGGGAATATGGAAGGGAAAAAGCACGATGATATCTGCAAGTGTCAGTCGCTTAGAGTTCGATGCGGTCCAGTAACTAGAATTCTAGACATACTAGTGATGATGAAAACAATAAGCGTAACGGTCGAGCGCCAGTCCTTGATCTTGCTGGTATCGAGGTCCCCCGCCATTCTGAAGACTGTCCTTGTATTAAACCCCTTCAAGGCTCGCTGGAGCTTCCGGGTTTCCCCCCTCGATTTGCGTTTTCGAGCTTAAGCGTTGCAGCCCTATGCCGCTTGGATAGAAATCAGATGCACCGACGACTGCCAATGGAGACAACGCTTTCAATAGATATAAGCACACAATCAAGCTTTAACAAGCAACAAGCGCCATTTGAAAATGTCTCGTCCGCTTCCTTGTTTTCAGGGCGCAGGAATGATAAAGGCCAGGTGGTCATGGAGAATTTGACCAGCAAACCTGACGTTGAGTGGAATGTTCAGACTTGATTATCGGTCGGTCAACATGTCGTCCTTCCTGCACACTCCACCTTTGCTGAATCAGTCAACAACCACATCTATTGGCGAAGAACAGACTCAGATAGAACAGGCCAAAGGAGAAAGATGGCCTTCTATATCACTCTTGTCGCAGTAGCACTTAATCTTCTTGGCTTAAAAAAAAAAAAAAAAAAAAAGGGCGGTAGCACCAGATAGATACACCGATTAGTGCAACCAACCCTCAAGCGGTTAGCAATGACGATTGGGAGCACATTCTTCGGGATAAATTTCGATTAGCCGAATGCTAATAAGGATGACCTAGTCAGCCAAGGGAGGCGCAGCAGAACACGTAGCCGAAAGGAAAGGTCTAAGAGGCTCAGAATCCCCGACAGTGTTCTAGCAGGAATCTTTGGAGTCTTTGGCTCCCCGCTGACAACTGAGGAGAAGAGGTTCGGCCACTAGTCTGGACTAGGCACTAAGGCATTAAGGCCCTCACTAGCTCCGAGTGATGTGGGGACTGCGCCCTCCAGCCTTGCCACCAGCCCCCCCATCAATTGTCTCCTCGATTTCTCCGTAGATAGTCCGTAACCATGGGCAAGGCAAGTGGGCATCCACTTCGACTTGTATGCTTCAACCAGGAGTGGAATAATACTGGACGTTCCTCTATGAAACAGTCAAAGCACGACAATTAAAAAGAACTGGGGAGATTTCTTACCAGCCTGATCTGTGAGAAAGAGAAAAGAATTGGCTATTGCCCAAACAAGAAAAGACTGGCAG